ATGTCTATAGAGTCGCCATAATCATTCAGTTACATACATATATATGTGTATACTGATACATTTATGTGGTTATATGTATATAATAAGTAGCTGTGTATGTAGCGTATCTCCATATATACAAATCCAATTACATATATATGTATATATAGAGCGCAAACTATTTTTAGTTGATGTTCAATCTTTTCGCAATTGGTGTGGGGGGCGGGGAAGGGGTGGATGCGTAGAAGATTCGATGCTTTGGCTCTTTTGGATGGGGCAGTGCGTGCTGTTGGCTATGCGCCCGCCTTTTGGCTGCTTGTTGCATGAATCATTCCGAATGTGGCCGGGTTTCTAGTTGTTATTTGTTATTGCTGTTGCTCCCGCTGCTGTTGTTGTTGTTGTCGCTAATGTTGTTGCAACTATTTGCACCGCATTTACAAAAATACATTTTATGTTTACGCCAACAAACGGCGACGTTGTCTGCCGCACTGGCTACGCAGACTGCGGGCTGCGATCTCAGCAGCAACAGCAACAGCAACAGCAGCAGCAGCAGGAGACGGAAACGCAGGTGGCGACTGGCGACTGCCAACTGAGGAGATAGGGAGCAGCAGAGCGGTGTTGTTCGGGGAACTGCGAATCGGGGAATCTGGTCACTGAGATTTAGGCAGACGCCGCCATCGCCTCATGCACTCATAATTTTCCAAAAATACTCTTCTGTGCGACAATTTACAACTTTCTCTTCTTGTTGCCATATTTTACAAAAAATGTTGTTTTTGAATATAAGCTAAAAAAAAACCTTAAAAAGTTTTCTGTAGCTATTTCTGAAAATTTGTCGGCTGATTGAATACTTTGATTATGGTTTCTCTTTAATTGCAATTACTCTATGTAGATCTATTAGTGTAACTATAGTCTATGACATGAGTATTTATATAGACTGAAATAATTATTTATATAGACTAAAGAGTTCGAGTTTCATATAAATTATCTCAAATTAATATACAGACAGAATCAGTCAGCTCAAGAACTAGAAGAGTTTACTCTTGTCTATCTATAATTTTTCCATTTCATCCATAAATTCTCATATAATAAACAAGCTTATAACTTATATTTGAATTACTAAATAACAAATTGATTAAGCTATCCATTAATATGCCAACATAATCCCTATTTCAGAAAAGTTTCCTCTCCCATAAATTATTCCTTCATTTCTAAACTCTTCACTTACCGGAATCTTTGAAGTGCGTAAAAATTCGAGCAGAGCTTCCAAGGAGCCTAGAGTCGAGGCTTGCACATAGACGCCTGATGGAGCCAATTTGATGTGGCTTAAAGCGCTCTTCAGTTCGCGGGCAACTTCCTCTCTGTAAATAGAAATGAGTTACATAAGCGAGTGCACAAATGGATATTACAGATTTTCAGATATAGTACTATTACACACTCGGCTATAATAGACTATATGAAAATTCGTTTCACCTACTTGCATATTTCGATTTCATCCGGTTTGTGCGCAATAAGCAAATTGATGCCAGCAATTGCCTTCTCCAGATCCTTGGCGGCTATCTTAACACCCTGAGCGGCCTTCACCTCCTTGTACTCCACATAGGCATTCTTCACACGCAGCTCCTTCATGGGCTGTGGCATGAGCAGTGAGCGAATTTGAGTAACTATCGGTCCATCTGTGCCGGCCAAGATCATGGTCTGACCCTCGCGGAGTCTGCCATTGATCAGAATGGCATCGATGGTGGTGCCCAGACCAGGTATGGCCTTCACCTCCAGCACTGTGGCCTGCAGCTCCTCGGAATACATCAAACGCTTGGCCAACATGTTCTGGCAGAAGTCCGTGATCATGAACAACAAGTTGCCCATGCCCTCGCCTGTGATGGCGCTCGTTGGCACTAGGGAGATATAGGTCTTGGGATCCTTGTTCTCATAGAACAAAGCTGCATTCAATCCTTGCTCAGCAAATTGCAGAATTACATCCTTTGTGCGCTGCTCAAACTCCAGCTGAGTATTCGTCTGCTGCTCCTTGATCACATCCCTGACATCGCGACGTGCCAGGACCTTCCAGTCATAGAGACGATCGATCTTGTTGAGGGCCACGATGAAGGGGCACTTCTTCTTCTTCAGCAGCTGTATTGACTCAATTGTTTGCGGCTCCAGGCCGTGCATAATGTCCACAACCAAAATGGCAATATCACAGAGAGATGAGCCACGATTGCGCAAATTACTGAACGATTCGTGGCCAGGTGTGTCAATGATCAACAAGCCGGGCAAGCGATGCTCGAAGTTGGCTGCATTCTTGACATATTTCGTCTGCTCCTTGATGGCATCGATGGGCACATTCGTGGCGCCAATCTGTTGCGTAATGCCACCCGCTTCTGAGTCTTGTACGTGAGTGCGTCGCAACTTGTCCAGAATCTTTGTCTTGCCCGTATCGACATGGCCGAGCACACAAACAACGCCTGCTCGCAACTCGTCTGTGGTGCGTTTCTTCTCAGCATCCCCTTGTCGTTTGATGATGCGTGCCTCTGCACGCAAACGTCGCGACTCGGGATCGTTGGCCAACTGATTATCCTCCTTTTCGGACTCTTCACTCTCCTCCTCCGACTCATCGCTGTCATCGTCGGTGTCATCATCATTATTATCGGATTCGCCTTCATCCTGCGGCTCATTTTTACCGTTGTTAGTGGTTGTTGTGGTTGCTTGCGAAGATTCCTCCTCTGGTTCCGCCTCGCTGTCTGTAGCATCCCAGCTCTCTTTAACCACCTCCTCCTTGACCGCCTGCTCAGCAGCTGCTGCAGCGGCGGCCGCTGTTTCAGCTGCCTTTTGTGCGTCATCCTTGGACTCACCCGCGCCTTCATCCTTTGGCCCTTTCTTCTTGTTGGGGCGTATGCGTGTGCCTGAAGGTATTCAAGATTATTAACTACACTATTCATCTAACGTCACAAGCTCACCTGGTCTAGTCCCACGCTTGTCATTTGGATCAGGTATTTCCAAGCCCTGCGCCTTGAGCGATTCGAGCAGCGCCTGTGCTCGGGCACGATCTTCCTTCTGTTTTTTGGTCAGAAGTTTGCCTTCGGCCTTGAGACGAGCCTTGCGTTCGGCCTCCTTTTGCTTCTTCTTCTCCTTGCGTTCAGCTTCTATGCGTAGAGCCTCCAGACGCGCCGCTTCGCGCTCTTCTTCGAGACGAATGCGCTCTTCCTCAAGCTTTTGCAAGCGCTCCTCTTCCTCTTTGCGCTTTTTGAGCTGCTCCTGCATGGCAGCCACAATCGCAGCAGACATGCCCTTCTTCTTGGTGTCCTTTTTCTCATCCTCGGCCTCAGCTTTCTTATCCTTTTTGCCTTTTTTCTTACCCTTACCCGCCTTGGAAGTATCTTCCGAAGCTTCTTCAGCTTCGGCTTCAACCTCAGGCGCTGCCTCCTCAGACTGAAGCTCGGGCTCGGGCTCGGGCTCTGGTGGTGCCACTGGAGCTGCCGCTGCCGCCGGCTTTTGTTTCGGCTCTAAGGCTGCTCGCTGTTTGGCTAGCGCCGCCTCTCGCTTTTGTCGCTCCTTTTTCTCTTTCTTCTTTTGAGCTGCTGTCTTCATGCCGCCTCCTTCATCATTCTCATCATCTTCGGCTTCAGCTTCAGCTTCGACCGCTGTTGCTGCTGCTGCTGGTGCTTGCTTCTTGCCCTTCTTCGACTTCTTGCTAAGATCATCCTGCTCAGGCTCTGCTACGACTGCTGCTGGAGCTTCTCCTGCATACTCTGCCTGCAGTGCCGCTAGCATCTTATCCAAGTCCTCGTCATCGTCTTTGCCCTTGCGCTTTGACTTTTTGCCCTTCTTTTCGTTCTTCTTCTGTGGCTTAGCAACCACCTCTTCCTCCTCCTCCTCCTCGGGTGAGTCTTGTGCAGCGGGCGGTTCTTCATCATCCTCGTCATCCATCAACAAATTGAAAGCGGACTTCTTGGCGGGCTTCAGATCGGGTGCCTCATCAGCGGAATCATCATCCAAATTTTTAGACTTGGCTTTGCCTTTACCTTTCACACTTAATTTTTTGACAGCCCTTGTAATGGTCTCTACTGGCGCATCATCCATGATGTCGCTGCCCTCATCCGAAGCATTGGCATTTTTGTTGTTCTTCTTCTTGTTCTTGCCCTTCTGCTGGTTTTTCTTATTGTTAGCGCTCACTTGATCGTTGTCCGATCCTAGGACAGCGGTTTCACTAAACGGTAAAGGAAATGCGATTTGTTTTTAATAGAAACTTTGCCAACGTTGCCATCGTGGCAACAACATCAACAACAACAACATCCATGGGCATGGCAATACAGTACTTACTTTTCGTCTGCCGATGAAGCACCCTCGACGTTGGTCAATATCTCTTTCTTGCCCTTTTTAGCTTTAACCATCTTTCCTGTCGTAGTCTCAACACGCTTCTTCTCTGAACACCCACGAAACGCCGAAATGAATTCACTATTAAAAATCTAAAACACGACGCAGAGGTAAACGAAGGCAACGACGACGATAACCACGAGTGTCTGTATCCTGATGTTACACCCAAAATGAGTATCTGATGCTGTTTGGTCTGCTCCCGTTTGACACAAGTTGAATCCTCTGCTGGGCGTTAAATCCACAATTTCTATCCTTCGCTAAATAAAAATTTATGAATTTTCCTTTGCACGCCGATTTGGTTAGCGAATACAATGCACCTGTGATAGGGGTGAGCAAATGGACGATTCCTATACCGATAGCGTTTATTATCGATAGTCCAAATATTAGTATTATCTGCTGCGGCAACAATAGAAACTTCAACTTCTAAAATATAAACTAAATTCGCAATTTAATAATTTAATTTGTAATCAATCAAATCATAACAAAACTTTTAGTAAATCGTAAAGCTTGGAAATTCACTCGTTTTAGTTCATCATATGCTTTTGTCATTTTTTTAAATTTATACAGTATATCGTAAATAGTTCTTTTTGCACGACTGTTATTAACATTACATGAGAGTGTTATCTTTGGGCGCCAAGAACATATGTTTTACATTTTGTGGATTATGTTTACGTTTTTGGTTATGTGGGTCGCGTTCCATTAGTTTCGTCTGGAACTTCGAAGTTTGCAAACGCCGATTTAAGTTTTCCGCGAAGAACGTAAAACAAAAAGCATAAATTAAGCACATTCAACGCCTTTATAGGTAAGTTATAATTATTAAGTATTAAAATTGTATACTTATGCATAAGAAGTTGATTGTTGAGAGTAATACGATTCTCTTTTTCTTATGAACTTGCAGTGCAAGGCTTTTTCTGGTATTTGAAGAGTGCCTCATAGGATTATGTCGATTATGTCCGGCGACGCAACAGGCATTAACGAGAGCAACAATACAGCCAGCATTTCGGAAGGCAGCAGCAATAGTGCTGAGGTCTGTTGAAATTTGAAGCCTGCTTGCTCTTTAGTTTTGTGTATACGAATTATAACTTCATGTTTTTCAATCCTCTCCCTCTGTCTTTATCCATCTATCTATCTCTCTTTCACCACCGCTATTCAGATCAAGAAGCTCGACAGCCAGCCCACAAATAAAGTCATTTCGTTGGTAACAAGCGAGAGCGGATATAAAGAAGAATCGAACGACAGTCATTTGAATCGTCTGCAGTTTCTACGAAACGAACTGAACTACATCAGCGAAACGGACTGGATGTACGATAGCCTGGAAAAGAAGCAACAGCAATAGGAAAAGTTTAGTGTAGAGAGCGAGCGAATAGGGAACGCGCGAAAGGAGAAGTGTAAAGTAGAGGCAGCAAGAAAAAGAAATTAAAGGCGTGTAAGGAGGAAGCAGGAACGTTCGAGAAGGAAAATATAAAAGCGAGAATTGAAAGTAAAAAGGAAAAAAGCCGATAACATTAGAAAAGAAACAGAGACGGTAATGAGCTAAAATCAAAGCGAGAATTGAAAGTAAAGAGGAAAGGAGTCGATAACACCAGAAAAGAAATCGGAATCATTGCGAAAAATCCGGCAAGAGCTTACACGTGTAATTGAGAACCGAAGCCCAACAATTGTCGGAAATTAAATTAAAAATGCTTTCGTTTTGGAGTCGAATTTTCCACAACTGCGAAAAGGAGTTGCAGCAGAAACGCGATCTGCTTGCTTTAGAGCATGATTTCCTAGACCAAGAGCACGTCACTGAGAACAGTGAGAGAAAAACCGAAGAGACGAATCGCAATGAAAACGGGAAAAGCAAAGAATCTTCCACTACGTGCTCGTCTCGCAAGGGCATCATCACACATTTAACTGATCAAACTGGCATTATAGACAACATTTTAAATTTTCAAAAGCATATTGCAGCAGAGCTCTTCGAGGAGCTGAATGTGGGGTGTGTGATTGAATATTTAGTGTATGAGCAGGAGCACGGTGAGAACAAGGTAATCAAAATACAAAAGATTGTCGAGCACTCGTGGGAGAAGACAACGGAGGACAAGGTGAGCTACATAGCCAGAATAGATCAAGGTCATGTAATAATTATCTATTAATCATAAGGTTAAGGATGTGTTGGAAACCTTAAAGCTGGATAATCCAACCTATTTCAATATGCAACTGCGAAACATTTTGGGCTTCATTACGCAGCGCCAGCCCTCGTCAATTGTGGTGGATACGGATTATGGCGAATTGACTGTTCAGTTGGACAGCATTGAATCGACTTTCTTACCCAGAACGGGTGATGAGATTACGCTGGAGTGCCAAGTGCAGCTGGACGAGGGCTATGTGGATCAACAGGGCGAAATACTGGAGGTGAAGAAGATGTTTCCCACACGCATCGAACCGAAGCAGCAGTGCACCGTCGAGCGGGTCTTCGAGGAGTTCACAGTGCTCTCATCGCAGGCCTATGTACTCAAGGAAGATGTGCCAATAGGACTTCAATTGCATCTGGGCGACATTGTCCAAGCAGATCTGATCGAGTGCAAATATGTAAGAGAGTTGAAGTTCATTTAAATATAAATGTAGTCTCTGATAATTATTTGTAAGAGTATTAAGAAGTCCATATATGTGTTCTGTTCCCACAACAAATTAGGCGAAATTTTCTCGACGCGCCATTAAAGTGGTTCAGCTGGAGAAGAACTTTGGCCAGATAACGAAAAATCAGATAAGCACCTCGTGCAGCAACAAACGAGCCGTTGCCGTCGAGGGCGTGGAACGCTTCATCTATACGGAACAGTGGAAGAAGCACCGTGTGACACTTCGCATCAGAAATGTAGGCAAGCGGGACTTCGAGCTGCGCTACATTAAAATACCAAATTCGTCGGATGCACAGATCACTGTTGTGGAGCCTGTTAGTTCGCGCACCATAAAAATGGGCCACCAAATTTCGCTGATCTTCGAGGTGCACACCAAGTTCATTGGCGAATCAAAGGAGTTCTACTGCTTGCAGTTCGATACGTTTAAGTTGACTCGCTTTCTGACCGTCATCGTCTGCGAAACGAAGGAGCAGGCCATCGAGGCGAACCGTCGTCTGATTGCCTCCCAGCAGCTGGTGGTTACCGGACGCAATGTAAGGCAGCGATCCCGCTTCTATGCCTATCAGGTCTATTCCAATAAATCTCCATTGGTGCCGGGCGAATCGATAGCCACCAAGCGCCGCTTTGTGCCGGTGCATCTGTTAAGCTATGATGTGCCGGACAAACTGTGCACCATAGTGCTTAAGACGGAGGTGGTTCAGGATGTGTGGGATCTCTTGGGCGTTGAGTATCCGTTTTTAAATGAGAACTTTACCTTTACCAACTATGCACAGCGCTTTTCAACTTTGCTGCACCTAGAGGAGATTGACTACAGCATTAGCTTTCGGAACTATGACCGCGAGCGAGCTCACTTCATTCGCGAAGGTGAATATCTCTCGCTATATATAGAGAATCTTGCCGAACGTCGTCCGTCGCTGGTACTGGGCGACACGGTAAATGCGATCAATCCCTGGTTGGAGCCGGACAGTAAGGATAACAAGTTGTTCCAGGGCGTCGTGCACAAGGTTCTCTTCAATAGAGTGCATCTAAAGTTTCATGCCAACTTTCAGCAGAAATACAATGGCGAGGATTATCGTCTAGAGTTCCACTTCTCACGCTTCTCCTTTCGGAAACAGCATCATGCTGTATCCCACATTTGCGACAAAATGGGCGAAAACTTTCTGTTTCCTAGCAAGATTAACAAACGCGACCAAATTCAACTGGACATCACGCTCAAGGATGATGAAATGTATCTATATAATCAGAAGCTAAACTGGTTTAACACCTCGCTCAACCACATCCAAAAGCGGGCTGTTTACAATGTGCTGAGGGGCGAGACGCATCAAATGGCTTATGTCATCTTTGGACCACCAGGCACGGGTAAAACTGTAACCCTAGTGGAGACCATCTTGCAGCTGGTGCGCAATGTGCCCGGCGCGCGTCTCCTTGTGGGCACACCATCTAACAGCTCTGCTGACCTAATCACCAAACGCATTATCGACAGCAAAGCCTTAAATCATGGCGACTTTGTGCGCCTCGTCTCGCAAAATCAGGTGGAGAAGGATCTTGTGTCGCCAGATCTAGCGCCCTACTGCGCTACAGTCGACATAGGCAGCATAGACGCCACGCACGATAGCGTAAGTTTCCCCGATATATGTAAAATGCATATTATTAAAATTCCATCTTTTGCAGATGATTGTTACGGACGCTGGATTGAAGCTGCGCTGCCAGGCCAAGTTTCTGGGCAAGCATCGGATTACTATCAGTACTTGCACTACCCTTGGCAACTTCATCCAAATGGAATTTGATCCGGACCACTTTACACACGTCCTGATCGATGAGGCGGGACAATGCACAGAGCCCGAAACAATGGTGCCAATTGTCCTTCTAGCCAAGGAGCGCAGTCAGGTAATCCTGGCCGGGGACCCTTACCAGCTGCAAGCTATTGTGACCAGTCGCTATTCGAGCGAAATGGGTCTGAATGTCTCTTTTCTGGAGCGGCTGCTCCAGACTCCGCCGTATCGCAGGGACCTGCAACGCTTTCCCCACAGTTCCGGCTACAACCCATGTGTGCTGACCAAGCTGCTGTACAACTATCGCGCACTGCCCTCCATCATGTCGGTGTATAGTAAACTCTTCTATGACAACGAGCTTGTCTCCATGGTCTCCGAGAAGGATTCTCGTGAGGCGCATACCCTAGCCAAACTGCAGACAATCTTTGAGCCCCATTTGGACATGCCGCGCACTCATGGCACTTTCTTTCACGGCATACTGGGCGAAAATATGCAGGATATGGATTCGCCCTCCTGGTTTAATCCAGCAGAAGCTCGCGAGGTCTTTCTACTGACCATCACGTTGTATCGTCACAATGTGCATCCCGATAATATTGGCATTTTGACACCTTATGCCAAACAGGTGAAAACTCTGCGCTCCATGTTCATTGCTGCCGACGTGAACATGCCCAAGATTGGCTCAGTGGAGGAATTTCAGGGTCAGGTAAGCAGTTGGCGATAGAGTTGTCAAAGTTTAAGTTTAATTTTCTCATTGTCTGTCTTCTAGGAGCGCGACATCATGCTTATTTCCACGGTGCGTTCCTCTGAGTGCAATCTCAGATCTGATGCGCGCTATAATTTGGGCTTTGTACGTTGCAACAAGCGTATGAATGTTGCCATCTCTCGTGCCCGTTGTATGCTGGTCATCTTTGGTAATCCTCTCCTGCTCTCTGTCGACGATTGCTGGCGCCATTTGCTTCTGTTCTGTGCGAACAACAATGCTTACTTTGGCTGTGAAATGCCAGAGTCGATTTGTCAACAGGGCGAGGAATCGGACGATGGAAATAATTCTGATTGCTCCGATTGCTCTGATTTGGTGCCTTAAGGACAATGGACCATGTCTACTAAAAAGTTCCTGATCCTGCTAGATTTATCCAAAGTCTCGAATATTTAAAGACAAAACTAACTTGAATAACTGACGAAATTTTTTACTTTTTTTATTCTTACGTGCATAGATATGTAAGCATTCCACATTGACTTAACAATTTACCTAGAATTACTGAAGTTGAGCTTCCAAAGAAATTTGTACTTTTTCAAAACCAATAAAGTTTGCTTTATTTTTTGGACGGGGCTTTGATTTGATATTTAGTGATGAATTATTTTCGTGAGTCACAGCACGATCAACATTTTCTGACCGAGTCGTGACTCACGAAATAATATGATTTGCAACACGCCACCCGAGCGCTAATAATAGATAATATACTTTAATAATTGATTTAACATCGAGGAGTCATTCTTACAATAATTATATGTCACAAATACTTACGCCCTTAAGATAAGCGTGCGTTCAGCTGTGATTCGTTCATCATCAAATGTTCATCATGAAATCATGCTCATCTCTATGTGTGTACGGCTATGTGTACACACTGTGCTTTTACCGTTACAGCCGGCCATGTTTTTGAGAATGCATGTTTTGTGCGCTCATTCGCAATGAGCTGCAAACGGATTCGGTCTGTAAATATACGAATATTAAATTAATACTCGAAGAAAATGACAAAGCCTGCGCTCGAACAAAACATCTTTATGCTCAGCGAAAAAAATGAGCATGAAAGAAATCAAATTGAGGTAAGTTAACATTGAAATAAAATGGATGTTAACTTAGAATGTTAAACAAGAGCTCCCTTCGCCTTGTAGCGCCTCTCGAAATTGCAATGGTTGAGCGAGTACGCAATGGACATCTTCGAGACCATGAAGGAGTCCGAGATGCGTCGCCGTCCCGTACTGTTTATGTCCACCCAAATGGACCAGCGACCAAAGCTGCTGCAACTGTGTCAATGGATCACGAGAACCTACAGATTGAGTCGATGCTCCTTGCATTTGGGTGAGTGCCAATAATTAATAATACTTTACATACATAAAGCTGCTAAGTTTCCTTGATATAACAACAGCCATCTATTATCTGGATCGGTTACTTGATTTCTACACCATACGCATGGACAAGCTACAGCTGATTGCCTTGATCTGCATACACATAGCAGCGCAGATCGAGAATCAGGACGCCTTCGTGCCACGCTACAGCGAAATGAATCGTCTGATCAAGAAGTGCTACGCGGCCTTTGAGTACAAGGCCGTGGAGCGGAAGGTGCTTACGTTCTTCGACTTCAATTTGATGAGGCCGACGACTGCGAGCTTTGTGGAGATGTTTGCCTGCAGTTTTCTGACACGTGAAGATTATGAAGCCTATTGCCAGCAACTCGATGAGCAACCCTCGCTGACAGTCACCTATCCGCGCTTCAATTGCTTTGAACAAATGCTGGCCGCACTCGCTCAACTGTTGTTGCGCTTTTCCGATTACACGCTGAGCAGTAAGCTGATGAATATATACATATCCCAATATAAATTTAAATAAATTTATTTTATGCAGTTAGCAGACTTTGCAACGAACCCCCATCCCTGTTAGCCGCCAGCTGCATTGCGGCCACAAGACAACTGTGCGGAATACCCAAGCGCTGGACGCCCTATCTAACCCAGTTGACTAGCTACACAGAACAGATGATAGAGCCATGTGTGGATTGCATTGTGACCTATCATTATTATCAACCAGCAACAGAAGCAACAGTTGTTACGGATCAGCAACAGTTATTGGAGACCAGCAATTGGTCCAGTCCGGATTCTGGATTTGAGGAGCAGCTCCTAAAACCCCATATTAAAATTGTTACCGTGGAAATGGAACCCTTCGACGTTATCTCAGTGGAGCTGCAAGGAGCCGGCAAACGTAATAGAGATGAGGACAACGAAGACCAACCAACGAAGCGATTCAGATTGAACGAAGATGAGGGAAATACCTAGAATTGGTACATAAGTTATAAGTATATTCTATATCTACATAATTGAAACTTAATAGTTTTTTGTATTATCTAACTATGTTAAGAGAGATCAAATGAAGCTTTAGTATTTTGTTTATAGTTAAGGACTCTATGTTTATGTTCATGCACAATTCTAAAAGAAATTTAAGATTATAATCTACGTACATATATATGTGAACAATATGTGCCTCAAAGAATACAATTTAATTTTTTTTAAATCAAAATCAGCTCACTGTACTCAATGAAATTGAGAGACTTTTGGTATAAGCGAAGATAATGTAGAACACATCTAAGTTGACTTTGAATATAAGATTGAAAAGATAATATTCTCATTTAAGAAAATATTGGAAAGGATTCCAGGTACCTGGCTAAGTTACATACATATATTAATTATAACATCTGTCCCTTTCCCCACATTGATTATTCCAAAATAAAAACACAATTTTCATTTCTTTTTTCCATGAGAAGGCTTTTCGGTGTTTTGTTTCTTTAATATTGTAGTTGTAAAGGATTTTCATAATTTTTTGCTATTTTCTTTTTGTTTCATTTAGTTAACTTGTGTTTTTATATGTATTTTTGATTTGTCAGAAAGTTTTTTAAATTTTCAGTTACAGTTTCTTTTAAAATTATGCTACAATTGGACCGAAAATAGATTCCTTTTATAAATTTTAAAATTTTACTTTAAAGCATTTATCAAAAACTGAGTGTATGTTTCGAGTTGTCTGAGTATATGTGTGTGTGTGTGTGTTTATGTGGGGTGTGTTAATGTGTGTGCATTTGTTGGAAATACCTTCTCAACCTCTCTGCTCCATCTAACATCGTTTCAATGTCCTGTCCACTTGCCTACGTCTAACTCCAAATAAAATAAAACAGTCACAATGCGCTTTTCCTTTCAATGAAAAGTGCTTAAAGAACTGTTTCGTATTTTGTTTGCTTGATTTTTTGAAATTACGAAACAATAATTATTTAAGACTGATCATCAACAATTGAAATTTAGAAACTACTTTATCATATTATTAATTTTTACAACAATTAGTTAAGGTTTTTTTGGTTGCATTTTTTAGTTTTAGCAACGGCTAACATTTTTTGCTATTTGATTGGATTCTTTTGATATATATATATATATTTGTATATATATAGTACTTATTCAGATTTTGGATTTTCTTTAAAACTCATCAATTTTTGTCGATGGGGTGTACAAAATAATGTTGATTTCTTTATCGTTATTACAGCTTACAATTTTGCTTAAAATCTAACGCTAATACAAGTTAAAGTTATTTGTTTGTTTGCTTGTTTGTCTCTTGTTGTTAAACACATTAAGCTTACATAACTAACTTATAGAATCTGATTTGTAATTGTATTTGTATTGTTTATGAAAATTACTTTATATGTATATATATATTTATGTATGTATAATAGTTGTTGATTTTATGCTTAAATATATATAGACATTTAATTTGGCATGTATTGCGTATATTTCGCTCAATCTCACAAAAAGTATTCAATTCAATTGAGATATTCTTTAAATATACAAATACAAAAACAATTATGCAAATATACACAATTATTTACACTTTAACATTCGTTCAATGCATTGTTTTAAAATTGCTCTGAAGACCAGTTTCTTGGTTTTTAATTTTAGGGTTATCTATTTTGTCTTTAAAGCTATAGACTCCTTTATGGGATAGTTCTTGCGGGTGGGTGGGAGCTAGATTCATCAAATGTGGTTAGAAAATTTTGGAAATGCAAAAATAATGGACTAGCTTTAAGGATTTGTACAACACTCAATTAAAAATATATATATGTAGTAGTTATTTAAATAAATATAGATACGACGTTATGAATGTAGTTCGGCACTAGGCTAGGGCAGCTCATTTGGGGTTTCGAAAAGTAGGAATAAGCTTAATTTATAGATCTATATATGCGCCGTTGATTAAAAACTAAATGTGAGTTGTATATGAGAGACTTCTAAGAGCTAGCTAGATTCACAGGAAACAGGACTTTGATGATCATCACATGTGTGTTGTTTGTTTCTTTATGGTTTATTGCTGATGTTTGTTTTTGTTGTTGTTGATGATAGTTTTGTTGTTGTTGGTGTTGTCGTTTGTGTGTTTTATGCTGATGTTGTCGGATTTTTGTTTTCTTTTCAGTCCTTTGAGTGAATCGGTATCACATATTTATGTCCATACGGACTTTTGTACTTAATGCCACAATCACGATAAAATTTATCTGGTATACCTAAATTACATAAATACAATTTGCCACAATTATTCGTTGTTGTCTTAGCGGTTGCTGTTGACGTTCCTGCTGCTGCAGCAGCAGCCGAAGTGCTTGAATCTTGGCTCAACGGTAGAATGGGTAAAATTGAGTACTTTATAGCAACATCCTTAATGCCACAAGGTGGCGGATCCACAGCAAGCACCGAAGCGCTAAAAGGAAAGACTAGATTAGTAACACAAAACATAAAAGATAAGAACTGCAAGGGTTTACCGATTAACGCTAAGCCATTGTTTTACAGCATCCGATAGATTAACGGTATTTGTCGATAGTATCACAAGATCTGGCGTGGGCATAGCTATAAAGAGAGATATTTTTTGGAATGGATTTCGAGTATTAATGAACTATTCTAGATGGTAAACAGCTAAGACTTATGCCCAAATCCAATTTCAATTGCGAATTACACAATTTATGTTGTTGAATAGAGGATAGACAGCAACGATCTTCAAAAATGTTCATACAACTAATATATTTTAAATCGAATTATAAGTAAACATATTTCTAATACATAATTAATGACTTCTTCATACCGTTCACCGAATGTACCACGGTGTTGTCAGTAGCTTTAAATAAAGCAACCTCCAAGCTGCTGTTTTTTTCTATGAGCTGCGCATTTTCCACATAGAGTAGAACAGTTAGGCCATGTGAGGCCAACAGGCGACCGGTAACAGCGCCGATGTTGATTGTTCTATAAAAAATATATACAAAGGCTATAACATATGTATATTATACTATATTCTGTCACCTAACTGACCTCATGGTATTAACGCCATCGCAAATTATGGCAATCTTCGGCCATTGATGATTGTTGGCGGGCGTCAAGCGACGCGCGCCACCAAGCAATGTGATGGCCAAATCGCAGGCACCACGCGCTAAAATATCTATCTGTCGCTGGATCGATAAGCCCGCCTTCTCGGCACTCAACTCTATGCGATTACGCACATAGGCCGGTATAGTGGGTATGATGAGGCCGTCGTCCGTCACAAAATCTTGGCTGCCATCGAAAATGCTCTCAATCTGACGTAGCTCCAGCGGCTTGCTAACTAAAATGTTCTCGTCGTGACGGTACTTTTTCTCCTGTTGCTTCTGCACATGGACCGCATGGCGCACCACATCCGGCTTCTGGTGCGTCGACTCAATATCATCCCAAATGGCTTGCTTGTCGAAAAGCGCGAGATTACCCTCGAAATCGAATTCCTCGTGCAGCAGCGGATCATCAGCTTCACTGCCAAACGTTTGTTGCTGCTGTAATCGCATGCTACTCTCTCGACGCACTCGATTGCGTTGCTTGTTCTTCATGTTTGGATTGACATTGCCATTACCATTGTAAGAGTTGGAGTTGTAGCTGCCAGTACCATTCCCATTCCCGTTACCATTACCATTGCCATTACGTTTGCTGTTGCCATTGCCATTACCATTGCCATAGCTGGCTGCTGCTTGGTTGTAATAACCGCCATTGGTTTGGCTATTGCTACCGTTAATAATGTCAATGGGTCTGCTGCTTCCAGCTACTTCGCCGCTACCGCAACTGCCATCGGCACTACTGCTGCAGTAGCTCCCACCTCCTCCAGCTCCACTCACTCCTCCTCCATTGTATGCCGTGCTGCCCAACTTCACCTCCACCTTGGCTGGTATCATATTGCCAAAAAAAGCGGCAACACTATTCGGCGTTGTTGCCTGCTGCTGCACTGCACTCGAAGCACGTGAGGATTGAGGTGTTCTGTAACGGAAAGGACATTGAAATTGGGAAACAAAGCTCAGTAAAAGCGTATCTCTTACCTTCGTACTCCATTCGCTCCATTACCATTTGTGCTGAGCATTAGTTGTTGCATTTTATCACTCAGAGCCGACTGGCTGCCAGCTGCGACCGTTCCATTTCTGCCATGGATAGGCAGCTCCTTCTCGCGCTGCTGTTGTTCTTGTTGATGCTGCAGTTGTTGCTTGCCCAATATGTTGGTGAAATGGGGCAATTTAACAGGCGTCGGCTTATTAATTACAGTCGGCGTTGTTGTCTCAACATCCTTCACTGGCTCAATGAGATTGATGCTCTTGATGTCGGCACAGCGGAGCACCACTTCGGCGTTCTGTTTGCGCAATGGAACACCGTTGCGAAAGGCGCGCACTATGGTTATCTCTTCGGCCGAAATTTTTTTGATCAGTCCTTGAAATACGCCCAGCTCGTCGTCGCAGGTCAGGCTGACCGCACAGCCAATCCAATCTTGATCTGTTAGACCCATGTAATAGAAACTAATCTCGAACTACACAAAAATGTTTTCTATTTTTTGTTATTTTTTCGCTTTTTGCGATTTCTCTTTCCTATTCGGCTTCAGTTTTTGCCAGCGTTTGCAGTTTGTTGTTTAACACGCAATTACCACGCACTAATGCACGCTTGTTAATAGGGCACGTAAATTATATTATTTTGTTATTGCAAATTTTACTTGGGATTTTTGGATTTGTATGATTTACATGAAATGACCTCTAGATATTAATACTCCATTTAATTTAAAAGAATTTCTGTTGTTTCGTTTAAATTTTTCACTGCCTTTCGCATTTACGTTTTCGTTAGAGACGGACGATATTTGCATGCAAAAAAAACAAAAACCTAAAAAAGAGCCATCAGCGAATATCGTGGTAACCAAATCTGTATCGGCTGTCACTGGTAACTGTAAATACTTAACAGGCGACTCAACGAGAGCGGGAACTCTTTGAACTTAATATAAATACTCATTTTAAAAACACATGAAAAAAAAAAATAAACAAAGTTGTATTTTATTTTTGAAGCAAATCTATAGTTAGCCATTTCGAATTTTTCAATAAATTTATGACATTCGGAAACATATTTAACAGCGCTGATGTTAGCTACAAATATCGATAATATTTGGCTACAGAGTTGAGCAGAAAAGTAATCAGCAAGTATATCGGAATAATTTAGTTGTCGTTTCTTGTCGGGCGTGTTTAGCCGTGAAAGTTCAAAAAATTGTTGTAATATTTGCGTATAAAATATAAACAATCAATTTATTTATTTGTGAAACGAAAAATGTAAACGCGATCTAGTGCTGACACACGAATACATCGAAATTATAGCCTACCGTGCAGTTGGCAGTGCGAAAAGATGTATGTGAGATGAGTTTTCCCCCAAGTATTTGCTCATACACACTCAAACACGCACAAACACACGTTAACAAACAGGCACATGCAAACATGTATATGTATGCATTCATAAATTGCACACATACATGCTCACATTTATAGTAGAACAATTTAGTTAAAAATACAACATAAATCAAACGAAATTATTGTGCAAGTAAGCACGACAGTCATTATCTGTGTGGAGCTGCCTGTGTATGTTCCTTACTGTCAGATCAAACCAAATGGAATAAGTTTAGGATTTGAATACCATCACGAAAGCCGGCCAGGTCGAAACGGCGTTGAACCTTTCGCGCTTGGATAATTACTTGACTTGGCTTTATGCTTTGTTGCCCATAAGAACTCTATGGGCACACATACACTTGCACCTGTGTGCGTGTGTCTCTCTCTCTCACGCTAGGTCTGAGTGTGTGTGCCTTACAAGTACCGTTCGTTCTACGTCTTTGTTGTCTGCTGCCGCTGCCTTTGGCCTTGCTGTGCAGCAGCTTCCATTTGTTCTCACCTCTAGCTTTTGTCAGTGCTTGAGCACTTTTTGTTTGCTCTTTTTTCTTTTTTTAATTAAAGATGCACTTCCGTTGTCTTTATATCTGTTTCACGCTGTCTCTTTCTCTCTTGCAGCTGCAGAACGTAGGCCAAGCCATGTCGGTGCGCAACAGCAGCAGTGGCAGCGTTGTGGCTGCATCCTCGTCAACGGCCGACGTGCCACGCCCGCCGCCACGTCGACGCGCCGCCTCTGTGGCAGGACAACAACAACGTCTGGACTACAGTAACGGACACACGCCACGTAGATCGTTGGCTGTAGTGGTGAGTAGAGAGGGATGTGGGCTGTAGGTTGTAAACGGAGTGGTGAATAGTCCGGTGGGTTGTGTGTAAGGGTCAGCGGCTGTGCGCCCGTTGGAGGGTGGCGCACGGAAATGTTCGTTTCTTTATCAGTGAGCTTTGCTTTAGTTACTGATTATATAGATTGTATATGTATGTGTGTATGGACGAATATATGTATGTCTTTTACGATATTTATACAATGGATCTTATCTGAAGATAGATATAAATATACGAATTCGACCAATAAACAGCTGTGATTCGCCTTAAAATTTATTTAAAATTCTGAGCAATACGCAATTTTTCCCCTAAATCATTTTAAACGATTAAAAATGATTATTCCAACTTATATTTTGTTGCTCACTTTCAACATGTATTTGTGTACTTTTTGAGATAAGCCGACGTGCTTGATAAGCGTTAACTGTGATTATCAAGTTCCAGAGATCTGCGCGGATGGCACGTTTGTAGGTTTCTGTGTGGCTGCTGCGAAAGAATGTCTGAAAGTGTGTTTCCTTTGCACTTCCACACAGTAAACAAACCATTAATAATTGCGCTACGCTCTATAACAATAATAAACAATGAGAGACAAAAACACTTTGTAGCAGAAGTTTGCAAATTTATTTGCTAATTAAATAAATAAACAGCAATTGTTTGCTTTGAATGTGCGTAATTTGAGCGCTCAATGAAATTAATTGAGTGATTACAGTGAAGATAATGCAAAAAATGTGCAGGCGTTTGCTCATGCGAGCATTCACTGTATTTGCATTACTCATTTGACACAGTTAGTCAACTAGCTCCGGAGCGCGAGGAGCGCAATCGCATTTTATCTTCATTAGCGAGCTTGTGCTAACCCGCAGGGGGCGTGACAATCGACCTCTAAAAACTTAACAAGCTGCATTTAGCGCGCTTTACCACTAGACTGTGCGAGTGGGTGAGCTTTCAGCCAAAGTCTAGATAATTGCGTCACAGACACACCTGTCAACGTCACGAAAATGTACATTAACCAGATCATTTGTCATTATCATAAATCAAATTATTTAAATATAGCTAGATATTTGACGTAAGCCGGTTGCAATCTAATGTTAATTATAATAGCTTGACGCATAGTATGGAGTTGTCTTTGATTGTTTTTGCGTTTCATTCACATCTTTACGCACAAACACACACACACGCATCTATTTACTTCAAATCATATGTTTTTGTTTTGTTTGCCTTGCCACTTGTTCGCTCAGCAGCTGCCAGTTTCAAAAAGCTCGCGGGCATATGAGGGAAGCTTTTCCCTTTTCAGTGTTAAAAAAATACTGTAAGCGATATATCTACACAATATGGACACACTGCATAGAAATGTGTTTGCTTAATACGTTCGTTTACATGTGTGTATTTATTTACATCACATGAGTAGAAATCGGTATATTATGTATTTATCAACCATCCGCTCAGCGACATGTTAGTTCCATTAATAAGAGCATCTGTATAAAAGCTTTTTGTTGCTCATCACTTCTCCCTCTTTGCATTTATATACATAACACATTTGGGCACACTGTATTCGAGCAAAAATATTTTAGTTTAGTTTAGAACGCGAGAGCTCCCGTTACAGGCAGCGGCAACCGTCGTGTTGTTGTTGTTGCTTCTGGTGTACAAATACAATCACATAAATGTGGAAAAGACTGACGTAGAACATGTTTCTGCATTAGTGTTGGTGTGTTGTGCGTTGTGCTCACCCGCTCGCTCGCTTGCTTGTATATATTGTTATTGTTATTATTTTTTGCGCGTTTGGCTGTTAATGATAGATAAATAAATGAATAATTGAATTATGTACACACACATATATATGACCAAAATATAAATGCCGCGTGCGTTTCTTTTTGCTCTGAAAATGTGTTAATTATATAAAATAAAAACACTCGTGTGTGCGTGTGTGTTTGTATGTATATGTGTCCACATAAAGCAACAGCCTTTTGCTTTTGCTCGTGAGCTAAGAATCGAATCAACGTCGCAAACGTGAAAACAAGATTGGCCATCGCCATTTGGATTCTCGCTCTCTCTTTCTCTCTTTCATTAGTCATATGCATATATATGCCAAAAAAAAACTTTTACATTTTTTAGTGTTTTTTGCCTTAATATGGGTCCGCACACCTAATTTTGTACTTATTTATATATAATGAATTGTGTGAGTCGAGAACCAGCATAATTGTATTTATATTCAAAACTAAAACCAAAATATACTCAAATATCTAGTATGAACCTGTTCCGCTTTGTAGACTTTTAGCAAATATGAAATAGTGACTTCAATAACATCAACTGAAATTTATTGCGCCAAAATCAAATTTGTGTTTGGAGCTTGGTGCGCCATCTCTCGCTTGATGCAGTTAAAACCGAAATCGTATAACTCTAAAATGTTTATTGCTTTTTAGTTGAAAGGCGTGCAATAATTAACACTCTCTGTGGATTAGAAAAACAACGTAAACAATATCAAACAAAATGGCCGAATCAACAGCAACAACGATAACCAACAATGACGAAGATGGTCAAATTCATGGCTTCAATAACCCTGATGTAAGTGATAGCAGGTGTTTCTCTCTTCTCTCTCCTCTCACTCTGTCACTCGCAATTTGTGTCTAGTATGCATACCTTTTAGCGCCTAAAACGCGATCGGCGCTTGGCGCAAAAGCTTTCGTGTTAAATAGATGCAAATACACTGAACAGCTACTGGTATATGTACATGTTGAAAGTCTTGGCTATGTTGTTGATAAGCTATCTTGAGAGAGGTATCCATTCATAAAGTGCATTCTCTGCTCTTCATCTTCATTTCCATCTCCATAGTCTGAATCTGTTTGGAAATAAAAATATGCTCACATTTAACAAGAGCCTAATTATACGTTTTACGGGGAAAATATTTCCTCTTTCTCTTTATATATACTTTATATACCACTCATTTTCTCTCTCTCTCTCTCTCTCTCTCTCTCTCTCTCTCTCTCTCTCTCTCTCTCTCTCTCTCTCTCTCTCTCTCTCTCTCTCTCTTCCTCTCTTCGAGCTCCTCTCCCTGTCTAGCTCTACTTTCAAGCTAGTTACCATAAATTAGGCAAGAAAATATCTCAATACAGAAATTTCTTTCCTGGGATAAACAGTCCAAGAAATTCACACTTTAAATGCAGGTCTTCTATTTATAAATATTATTATATTTACTTATTCATATTTACACTCTGTGTATCGCAACGTGTTAAATTTAAGAGTGCTTTCCATTCATTCCACATATTATATATGTATATATATATATATATATCTACGTACATATATATTTTATCTTTGCATATCTCTTGTCCTGAACTCATCTGCCCTTCAGCTCATCCATCAATATACAAATGTGTGTATGTGGGAGGAAAACCCTTTTGAACTCATATGCGACATCAAATCAATTTGGGTAATGAATTTTTGCTGACATTCAGATGAGCACAGGAAAAAACAAAATACAAAAATAGTAATAATAATAGGAATCAATTTAATCAATTTAGTTAATGGACGTTTGCCTTGCTTATTTTCCTAAGGCAACTCATATTGAGTATTTACAAATCATTTACCTTCAATTCAAATAGATATCAGTTCCAGTTCCGTCTGATAACTTGACTTAAAATTCTATTACTACTTGCAATCATCGCTTATCAGTGGGCAAATAATTATTCATATATACATATCCTATTACTCAGCAATGAGAATTATTTAAGGTTGCCTCGACAGCAGCACCTGTTTGTCAAATGCTGCAGACATTGATTTGCTTAGGCTAAAGAATTTTGATAGTCAAAGCGAAAGCGATAGGTTGTTTGAAATTATAAAATGATTGGTGAATTTTTTAGACACGCTTGTACAAATTTGCAAATTCCTACACTTGACCTTGAAAGTACATGAATTATTCAAAACGGATTTTCAAGAACATATTCGTCCTAGCTTCTTGTATAAAAATATCTTGATGTCTTTACATTAAAATTAGTTACACATCAAAAATCTCTTTGAAAGCTAATAAATGTCACTGTGCAGTTCTTAATTGATATTAGCATGTTCCATGGACATCTACAGACGTCGTTGTGCTGAGATTTAATGGCTAAAAATCAATTAAAGCAGAGCTTAAAGTGACAGCGCTTAGCTAGGGTTAGGCGGCTTGTCGAGGGTTTTGGGATTTCGATCGGGGTTGCTGTTGCGGGCTGATGGATGGATTGATTGATTGATTGATTGACTGACTGATGTAATCGGACTGCATATTTGAGCTTTAATGTTGGCCACATTTCTGCTGCACACTCTCGTCATTGACATGCCCAGAATAAATTGTAATTAAAAGTAAAATGCCTATGCGCTGCTATATCGAAATACCAATGTATATATATATACCAATATATATATATATATATATAGATACTGCAGTAGTTAGCAATCGGCTGTCGAGACAAACCACAAGCATTCCAAGATGGAAAAACCGCTAAAAAAATCAATATAATAAGTTCATGGAAAACGTGTCATACGGCCCTGCAAAATGCATTCACAACGTGGCGGAAAATGTTGACACTACATTATATATGTATATGTAGAATATAGTACATATAGTATGCAGTAATGTATAGTAATATATATAATATAGTATTGGGCAAATTAAAATATTGTGAAGTGCTAATGAAAGGCGAGAGTTGGACAAACCGGTTAGGCAGATGACCTAAAGTTAGTGTAATATTTATTTTTTTGCGTTTACTTATTATATATTTACCTGTAAACAGAATAGAGTTGCAGGTGAGCATAACCAACTACTTAATACCCGTCCAAAGCATCTGCACTGTAGCGTGAAAACTAAGTTTCGATTTGTCGACATTAAACTAATGAATGTGGGTCACATGGGAGGTGTATATTAACTGATATACCCGCTCCTCAGTACGTGAGCGGGTATACAATATGCAATTCCATTCAATCTCCCATATTACTAGGGTCTTTTGACAAAAACTGCCAAAATGCATGCAAATGTCTGAAATAATATTTAATTTCAATAAATTACTGGGATTAAATAGATATTAAATTTCCAATTAAGTAGCTAATTACTAGGCGTAAATGCGGATTAGAGTGGGCTTTGGGTCAAGGGCACAAGACGAGTTGGTTGCATATATATACATATTATATTTCAGCATTGAAATGCATAAATTAGATGTTGGCAGCGAACGTTGCGTATGCGTAATCACAGACATTAAGTATACGCATCCTATGGCCAACAACAGCAAATGCTTTATGACTGTATAAACAAAGAATGTAAAGTCTGTGTCTCGGGGACTTTATAAGAGTTTTGTCGTTGCATGTGGAATGTGGCATGTGGGATGTGGCAAGTGGCAAGTGGCAAGTGGCTCATTTGACACGCTGCACACTTGTAAGTTGTTCAGCCTTAACTTTTCACATTTTCTTGTTGCTTCTCTCATTGTAGAACGACGCCGGCGATTCGTGTCACCTGCGCATTGTTGTGCTAAGCGGCAAATCCTTGGCCAAAAAGGATATTTTTGGTGCCAGGTAAGTTGAAACTAAGCTAGCTGTCACTACCACAATACTGAGTACCTTTCCATTTGGCTCTCTTCCAGTGATCCGTATGTCAGAATCGATTTGAATACCATACACGGCGACATCAACATTGACTCAGTTTTAACTAAAACTAAAAAGAAGGTAAGCGAACTATTGCCCAAGAGCGGAACCCACTTCGGGAACAGCGAATAGTTTGTAGTTAATTTGCTATCTTATCAGTCAACATGTGCAGAACTTACATACATTAGCCTAGACGTACCTTTTTCTAGACAAAGTCCCATATAAACAGATGTAGAAATGCTGGCCAATGACTAAAGGCTAATGGCTAATGACTAATGATAAGATTAAGGTCAGGGGACTTTGTTTGAGAAAACCAAATAATTTCACAATAAGAGGCTAGTAAGGTCGGAAAAGTGTCGAAAAGTGAATTTATGATTGATATCTTATTGTATACCCATTAGGTTATGAAAGTTATAATATGGGGCATGTTGTGTTTGAGGGAACGTTTGTAACGGGCAGTAGGAGCTTCAATACTAAGTTAACTTAGGATATTTTAGGGCTTTTTGTATATATAAAAGAAGCGTAAATTGATGGAAATAACAGTTGTTTATACTATTTGCTAGTCGTACACTCCCGCCTAAAGACCTCGTACTTCGCTAATACACTCATTTCTTTTATCTTACCTTACAGACACTAAATCCATCCTGGAATGAAGAGTTTATATTTAGAGTAAGTATACTAAATATACCTAAAAAAAAAAAAACTGATGTTAAGATATTGAAACATCTCAATTCTAGGTAAAACCGTCTGAGCACAAGCTGGTTTTCCAAGTATTTGACGAGAATCGCTTGACACGCGATGATTTCCTGGGCATGGTGGAGCTGACGCTGGTCAATCTGCCCACGGAGCAGGAGGGCCGTACGATTGGCTCTCAGAGCTACCCGCTGCGTCCGCGCAGGTCAGTAGGGTATGTTTATTTCAGTTGCTGTTTGATTTCCTTTATTTAATTTCAGTTCATTTAGACAAGAACATAAACAAAAATCTATATAAAACTAGTAAATCGAATCCAATGTAAAACAAAAAATTAGTTGAAAATAAGATGAACTTATTTATATGTACTATAGGCATAGATCGAAACTAAGCTGTACACAATCCATTTAATTAGTCGTTGCATCACGTATTTGCCGCTTCTGTTAGTCTAGAGACTCGTCATATGCATTTTTCGTAACTCTATCATTTGGCTTTATTATTGTTTGCTGTTTAGACAGCGCTTTGTGTAATTGTTTATGATTTTTGATTTTGTATTATTTGTAAATACGAGTGTGCGTGTGTGTGCTGGTATTGGTGTTGGTATTGATAGTCTGTGTAACTGTATTGTGTGTGTATATTTGTTGGCCTTGAAGTGCACCTGTTGTTTAACATTGACTTAATACTTCATTCTCTACATTTCTGTATGCAAATATAGCGCTAAATCACGCATCAAGGGCACCCTGGAGATCTATCATGCCTTCATACGCGAAACACGCGAACAGAGCGAACCGTCCAGCAACAACAGCGACGGCGAATGGGAGCATGTCGAGGCTACAAATGCCGGCGAGCAAACATCACAGCCGGTAGCTAATTGTGAAATAGTTAACTAAATGCTTCATTTCACTAACTAACTTTTCATTATGTTCTATTGTTTAGCATCCATTTCCTACTGGCGGCTCGGATGCCCTGCCCGCTGGCTGGGAGGAGCGACAGGACGCGAATGGACGCACATACTATGTGAATCATACAGCACGCACGACGCAATGGGAAAGGCCAACCATGTAAGTGAGAGCAGCTCTAAGGATTAGACGCTGGGAAAAATGTGTTAGGCAGCTGTAAGAGAGGAACTTTTAGAAAGAGAACTAAATTGTTTGAAAGAATCATTAATAAATGGATGAATGACATACGGAAGAGTCAAACAGCTAACTAGATGTACTCATACTGATAGAATGACAGATTGCTTAACCTATAAATGGACCACTGATTCATGAGGAAGAACTCGGCAACTTTAATTACTACAAAAATACTTAGCTATTCAAGCAATAGATAGGTGTATATGTCCATATGTAGATATAAACCATAATCATTCGTGAGTGTGACGCTCTGACTATTACAAAAGTTAGTTAATTGATCAAATGAGATTTTAGACTATATTTTAAGCATACATATATGTATATATTGTATATATATTTATAATACTATTAATATCTCTCTCGCCTCACAGCTTGACAAGCAACAATAGCCAAAATGTTGAGCAGCTGGCATCAGATTTCCAAAGACGTTTTCACATCAGTGTGGATGATACGGAGTCGGGACGTGGACCGGTAAGTCCAACAGCCACTGTATTTCTTAGTGCAACTGTAACTTTGCTGCACTGAACAAAACAAAAAAGAAAAGAAAATCGATTTTTGATTTGATTTTGATTAACAAAAGCCAAGAATAACAAATACTATTTATTATTAAACTATGCTGCATGTGTGTTTGACAATTGACTCAATTGTTATGCATGAACTTTATAAACTTTTTAACTATACACAACACACACACACATACATACACGCACAATACACACTACTCATCTCACCTGTTCAAATATTTCCTGTGAGCCTTTGTCATACACTGAACAACAAAAACAACAACAACAAACAGTGCGCAAAGTCGTTGCTGCCAGCCACGCGGGATGAGAGTAGCGTAGACAGCGGAGAAGATGATGAAGCGGAAGAGGAGGAGGAGGAGGAGGCGGAGGAGCAGGAAGAAGTGCAGCAGTTGGAGGCGGAGCGAGCTGCTGATCAGAGCAACTGCCTGCACTGCGGAGAGCAACACAACGAAGTCGAAATGCAGCAGGAAGAGGCTGAGCCGGAGTCGCCAGCAGATAATGGAACCGATCAGCAGTTAACACTGTCCGAGAATGCTCAAACTTGTGATATACTCGACCACAACTTGTACCTGAGGCGCATGTTTGTAATGCCAAACAGTTCTCTAATGCGCGCGTATTGTATGCATATAGTAATCGTAAAACCAACAGCTAGACTAGTTACAACTCGCTAAAACTATTGATTTTTGGATAGTCCGTTTTATAATGCTCGTCAGGCTCTCCAATTCCCAGGCGATTTTGTTTTGTAAATTTATTATTCATTTACTTTGACAACTATTGTTTGTGTAGTTTGGCTAGTTGCTCTATATATATATGCGATATGTACAGCTAAAGCATATTTACGTGTGTGTATTTGCGAGGGCTGACTGACAAGTTTTTGGAAAGATGAAAATGGCTAATTAAGAGATAAAAGTTAATGTATTTATAGAGATTGTTGTATATGAGGGATATTTTTAATACTGCTCAAGTTTTTGCATAGAACTATCCAACTCATTATTTATATAGAATTCGCCACAGCGCAGCATAGTTTTCAAGCAGCAATATATCCATAATCTAATATGCTTCATATACAAATACCATGTTTAATTATTGGCTAATATAATCACGTATATATATTAAATTAGGATGCCAGGGATAATAACAATGCCACGCCCGCATATAGTCCCTCAACGCCCACAACGACACCAACCACACCGACACAAATGTCACGCAGACAGTCGCAAGTATCAGTTAGCAACAACAACAACTACAATTGTGATACAATACCTGAACAATCTGAACTAGAGTCCAATCAAGTGGTGGATAACGCCAGGTTAATATGCCTCAATCACTGTGGGCTCGCAATGAGCTCGATCCCAAGTCAAATTCCGTCCACTGTTTGTGTTTTGTCTAAATCCCGATTCTGAATTCCCAGAATCCCCAACTGGTTAAGTCCTTTACTCCTTTCCCCTGATCCGTTGTGGCTGTTTCTCTCTCTTTAATGCGTCTCTTTTACAAATCCAGTTTTGTTTACAATTCACTACAACGTCGTCGCGATGCTGGCAATGAGATCGAGGTCTCGTCGAGCAGCGTGCAGAACGATCTGCGACCGGTGCGTCAAGCACCTAACGATCTAGTCAATATGGCCATAACGAATCTATTGACCCGGCGTGCCAATGACAACGGTCTGGGTCGCCAGCAATTGGACAACAGGCAGCAGAGGCGGCGCCAAGTGCAGCAGCAGCATAGACAATTGGTTAGCATACACACACACACGCATACATACACAGCATACACTCACACCTACACATACACTCACACTCGCACGGTTATAAGTATTAACTCTATAAACTAAACTCTGTGATTCGTCCCTCGTTGCTTCGTTCTGCCTTCATATTGTTCAAGACCCCATTGTCAGTCCGTCTATCTCAGCCAAGATTATAAGAATGCTCAAAATGGTATATGAGAAAGCATAGATCAAAATTTTTGATGTCTGTATATATTCAGAAAAAAAAATCATCCAAAACTCTATCTTAGCACTTCAAGTCCAGAAAACAAATTTCCAAATTAAAGCTTGGATGGGCTTATTATGGTCGCGTGTAGCGGATGGGGTAAGCTATGGAGCATACAAATACTACAGAATTTACAACAGAACAGATTTATAATAATGACATAAATCGACAACAAAATCGGGGGCAACTTCTCGTTAAAAATCATCATGTGAATATAGATTTCGGATGTTGTCAAAAGGATTTATAAAAGTTGGGATAATCTAGGCCGTATTGCTCGATTACCAAATACCCTAAAACGCGTCTATTGCAATTTGTATCTTAACTAATTTCATTTGTAGGGTATGCGGAGCAGGCTTAATTAGTTCTATGTTTGATTTTTGAGGAAAATATAAAAGTAATCAATATCAATATCTATAAGTGGGCATTATCTCTCACTTTCAAAGAATCTATATGCCGAATTTGCTATCCGACATTTCCGACATATGTTCCATTAACTCATGATAAGCCAAACCTTATCTGATCACATAATGGATTCCAGATTACCTTTTTACCTGTGGCCTTTTTATGTCACACCTCCCATCGCCCCTTTCATACACTTCAACCATGTTCAATTGACTTGAGGTAGACAATTTATATACAAAATTACTCAAATCTCTTATACCTACTATATATGTATGTGTTGTTTATATGCATGATATATATACATGATGTATACAATTCCATCTAACAAACATATGCAATACAGATCTGTACTTAACACCTTCATTTTTCATCGGAATTTCTAATTTATGTCTCAATTTAGAGCTGATGAAGCATTGATATATTCGTATATGCGTTGTTTCTCTAGCTCTATTTCGTATAGTTATATATGTTTCCTGTGTGTTATCTTTAATTGGCTGTGCTCTATGTATTTTTATGTTCTGCTTCTTTCTTTTTTTATTTTTATTATTTGTTCTTCGTGTTTGGCAAAATTAATTATAATTTATTGGAAACATTTCTTTTCTGTTTCTTCCAATTGTAATAAAAATAAACAATTAAACTATACAACAACAAAACCATATTGCAACCATAATCAATTAGAGTGAAGACACCGATCACACAGACAGCCACAATCCCTCAGAGATCTCAGCTTCGTCCACCCGACGCAATTCCGAGGAAGACAACGCGGCTGTGCCCACGGATCAAGTAAAGTTTCATTCCATATACATACTATATATATATATATATACCTGACTATATCTACCTATCTATATATATTAGCACTCGAATGTGCATGTGCTTTTTTTTTAGCTGCCAACAGATTATAAATATTTTATTAGGGACTATTTGAGAAATGTTTTTGTATATAGCTAAAAGATGCTGCTTTTGCCTTTGCAGACCGCCGCCAGTGAGGAGGAAGCGCTGCCACCCCGCTGGTCCATGCAGGTGGCACCCAATGGACGTACCTTCTTTATTGATCACGAGGCGAGGCGCACCACCTGGATAGATCCCCGCAATGGACGCGCCAGTCCCATGCCAAATCAAACGCGCCGCGTCGAAGACGATCTTGGCCCGTTGCCCGAGGGCTGGGAAGAGCGCGTGCACACAGATGGTCGCGTCTTCTACATAGATCACAGTAAGCTCTAATCTGGCAATGAAAGGATGTCACGCTTAACTCAACTCAACATTGTTTTCATTTGCAGATACGCGCACCACACAGTGGGATGATCCACGCTTGTCAAATCCAAATATCGCTGGCCAAGCGGTTCCCTATTCGCGAGATTACAAACAGAAATATGAATATTTCAAGAGTCATATTAGAAAGCCTGTAAGCATAGACTATACAATTTATATTAAAAGTCAACTAATCATCTGTCTTCTCTTTAACTTGCAGACAAATGTACCAAATAAATTTGAAATACGCATTCGTCGTACATCCATATTGGAGGATTCGTATAGAATTATTAGTTCGGTGACAAAGACCGATTTACTAAAGACTAAATTATGGGTCGAGTTTGAAGGAGAGACGGGCTTAGGTAAAATAATATATACTCTCCTTTATATATCTTTTCATATAACTTTTTGATTTATTCAGATTATGGTGGCCTTGCCAGGGAATGGTTCTATTTGCTATCCAAAGAAATGTTTAATCCGTATTATGGACTCTTCGAGTACTCTGCCATGGATAACTACACGCTGCAAATCAACAATGGCAGTGGTCTGTGTAATGAGGAGCATTTAAGTTATTTCAAGTATGTCTTTAAAGAAACTACGAATATTTGATATCCCATTATAAATACCTTATATTTGCCTTTAGGTTCATTGGTCGCATAGCTGGCATGGCTGTGTACCATGGCAAATTGCTGGATGCCTTCTTTATACGGCCGTTCTACAAGATGATGCTGCAAAAGTCCATAGATTTGAAGGATATGGAATCGGTTGACACTGAATACTATAACTCATTGATGTGGATCAAGGAGAATGATCCACGCATTCTGGAGCTCACCTTCTGCCTGGACGAAGATGTGTTTGGCCAAAAGAGTCAGCACGAGCTCAAGGCAGGCGGCGCCAACATTGAAGTGTCCAACGAAAATAAAGATGAATACATTAAGTAAGTGATGAATAGAATCCATTAAGCACATATTTGTATACTTACTTCTGCATCTTCTAGGCTTGTCATCGAGTGGCGCTTTGTGGCGCGTGTTAAGGATCAAATGACAGCATTCTTGGATGGCTTTGGCTCTATCATACCACTGAATCTAATCAAAATATTTGATGAGCACGAACTGGAGCTGTTGATGTGCGGCATACAGAATATCGATGTCAAGGATTGGCGTGAGAATACCCTGTATAAGGGCGATTATCATATGAACCACATCATCATTCAATGGTTCTGGCGTGCCGTCTTATCATTCTCCAACGAAATGCGCTCGCGTCTGTTGCAGTTCGTCACGGGCACATCGCGTGTGCCCATGAACGGTTTCAAGGAGCTTTACGGATCGAATGGTCCGCAAATGTTTACCATTGAGAAATGGGGCACACCCAACAACTTTCCACGTGCGCATACCTGGTAAGAAAGAGTCTGGCTTTTGCAGCAATTCGGATTGATTTGAAATGCTTTCTCTACTCTCTTAGCTTCAATCGTCTGGACCTGCCACCCTACGAGGGATACCTGCAGCTCAAAGATAAACTGATCAAGGCCATTGAGGGAAGCCAAGGATTTGCTGGAGTTGATTAATAACACTGGTCCTGTGTGCGACGGCGTTGGCAACGTGGCTGACACTGTTTGGTTGTGGCAAACGGTTCACCAGTTATATGAGGAGGAACAGCAACAACGACGACACACAACATCACTACGACAACAAGAAGATCAGCAACATCAACATCAACATCAACGGCAGCAGCAGCAGCGACAAGGAAACCGCATTGCGACTACTTGGAACACCACCGCCACTCACTCGTGTACTTATTTGTTCGTTTGCTTTTGTATTATAATCACTTTTGCTAGTTTAGTGCTGTTTCGTATGTATTTTTAGTTAGGCGAAAGCACACACACACACACACACACGTACACATACATAAACTCCAATTGGAGACCTAAGGTCCGCATAATTGGAGTAGACTATACATAAAGGACGGGTCTACTTGTATTTGTATTCTAATTGACCCATGCCGAGAAACTGTAAAAATTAGTAAGCTTAACTAACTAAACTACAACAAATTTAAATATATGCATTGCCTGCGCTTACACTCACAAACACACACACACACACATAGATCGAAAAATCAACAAATTATACAAAAGTAAAAGAAAGAAATGAAAAGAGAAAATATATCTTATATAAAGGTTTTTTATGATTGTTATTTTTATGCAATATTCGTGTCTACAACAATGAAAAGTTATGCCTAATTGACATTCGATTGATAAAGACCATTAAACTGTAACTTTTTTATTCTGTATAACTATGTATGTGTATTTAATAATAATAATAATTCTAATGTTAAACTGTGCATAAGTCTCTCCAATTTTTAATGATAACGTTTATATAAATAACTATTACAACAACAACAACAACAAAACGATGCCACTAAATCGCAAATCAAATTTATGTATATTGTTAAATTTAAATTATATAAAATGCATTCCAAATGTTTATTAAAATGAATGAAAAAACACAAAACAAAATGTATGAAATTTATTGATGATATATTGAGGATATATATATACATATATGTAAAAGCCGAGTAAAGCCTAAACTAAACTTTAAAGTCAAATTATGATAAAAAATGCAAAACAAAACAAAAATATATTTAACTGTTTCAATGTGAAAGAAACTAAAACAACAACAAAACAAGAGCAAAAAAAAAAAAAAAAAAATAAAAAAAATGATAAATATATATGTGTTGTGAAATTATTTTCGAGTGTAATGAGTAAATTCTTTGGAAACGTAGAATCCAGCCGAAGGACAAGCTTAGTGAATGAGTCAATTTATTCTACTCCAATTTGTTTGGTCCATAATTGCCTTTTTAGATCCAGATATAAAGATAGGGGATACAGAAATATCTACATAGAAAAATTATCTAAGAGCAGCAACTAACTAACTAACTAATCGAAAATTGATAAAAAGTAATCTTTCGATATATGTATATTTTTTTTCGTTTTTGTATTATTCTTTATTTTGATGAAAATGGCATTTTACATTTAGCGGGAGATGCCAGATTTGTCCTTGATCCAGTCCAGGTAGCTGGTGACACGGGTGAAGGCAGCTGGCTGCTGCTTCTCGCAACCGGCGGAAGAACCGAAGGAGGTCACACCGACTAGTTCCCTGTTGTGCTTCAGGACCAATGGGCCGCCGGAGTCACCGTTGCATGTGGAGACGGCGGCTGAGGTGGACACACAGATGTTGGAGGAGCGCACGTTCAGAGGGAAGGTCTTCTTGCAAACGTCGTTTGAGATGATTCTCAAATCGGCGTACTGCAGGTGAGAAGCCACAGAGTTGGAGGAGTCGGAGGTGCGGCCCCAGCCGGAAGCAACGGCCTCATCATTGACATAAGTGGAGTAGTGGGACTCCAGACGGGGCAGATCGACGGCACGGATGGCGTCGTTGAAATCGGTGTATGGAATGCGGATGAGGGAGATGTCGTTCAACACAGTCTTGGAATTCCAGCCCTCATGGATGATGACGCGGTCTCTGCCTACGGTGTACTTGACCTTGGGGCTAGTGCGGATGGTGCTGCCCAAATGAACATCGATGGAATCAACACTGTACGCATGGATAAAGAATCATTAGCTGAGGGTCAGTTGGCAAAACAGCATCAGCTTACCCATCGGTGCAGTGAGCGGCAGTCAGGATCCATTCGTGTCCGATCACGGAGCCACCGCACCAGGCGGCGGAGTTGCCAATTTTCAGAGAAAGACCAGCCTGGTAGGGGAACTGATCAGGTCTGGCATCGTATCCATTGGTGATGCGACCATCAAGTCCATCCACAGCGGGTACGTAGACATTGCGGAGCTCAGGCTCCACGTTCACTTCATAGGGAGCACGCAGTGCCGATCCCGAGGCGTAGGCCACAGCCAGAGCAAATACGACGAGTACCTTCATGTTGACTTCAATGAAGACTATAATCCGGTCAGTTCGAGCTGCCCCCTTTTATACAGATTCGCTCCCTCGGGAATGACGTCTGCAAAATTAGGGTTAGAGCACCTGTGTTCGAGTGTCTTTAGTAACGCTGTCAAGCTTATCAATTAAATTAAAATTTTGTTTGCCTCTTTGTAAACTTTAGATAGGATTATTTGCCAAAAAAAAAAAAAATAAATAAATTAAATAGAAACAATAGCTGCGTATCTTTTGCTATAGGTATTGATAACTCAAGGGTCTATATTTGTATGTATTATATATGTTTTATATACATTTATATTCATTGCGATTTTACGTCGTCATCAATCCAATCAGTTTCTGAGATATTCACGCTCTATATACTCTAGTACTAATATTCAAAATCAACTCAAATTGTATTCAAAATTTTCCATGGAAATTAATTTATGCAAGAGCGTATTATCTATAGATATAGTACATTTTCTAGGTATTAAGCTTAAACTTATCTATTTATGATATTTATTTATTAAATTATCAGATCTAGTGTTATTTACAGCAGTCAGTACTATGGCTCGCTTCTTCCAAGATTTATAATAGAATAGAAAAATGAGAAAACAGCTCAAGTGAATTTTTTATAAAGTATTTTGATTTGAAGAAGATAAAATAATATATTTTAAAGGAAAAGCCTAAAATCTTTTATCTTTATAAATAAATGAAAAATATATATTTTATTTATAATATTATAATCTATAAAGTAAGTATGACTAAAAAGTTTTTAACGGATTAAGATTCGGTGGAGCTATCACAGCATAATGATCAAATACTTTGAAGCTTCAAAATATCTATCAACATGTGTCCGCCGAAAATCCATTTGGTTTTGATAATGTTAACAAGGTCTGCTGAACAGAAAAAAATAAATAAATAAAATCATCCAATAATTATAACATTATCAAAACTCAATACTAAAATGAAATAAGTTTGTCGAAAAATCACAGTCTGCAGAAATCTCTATCAGTATGCATGAAATCTTTTAGCTTTAACCCTTATGTTGGCAAAACGACTTTTCTGCGCTAGCTTGATTCTGCTTATGGCATGCTTATAAAGACCATTGCGGTTTGATAATCATATCAATATGTATGGGGCTGGCATTTCTCGAAATATCTGTGTCCAAAAGTATGTGAATATCGACAAATCAGTTCTTATTATAAATTCTAGCTTTAGTTAAGTAATAACCACTCGATTCTGCCATTCTATCTCGTTTAGATAATGTTATAAATACTTCATGATGAGACACTTTTCTTAGCCTTCTCCAAAAGTAACTGGAAATTTCCTTTAATACCAATGAAAACGTTTAGCAATAGCATTATACAAGCTTGATTCTGATGTTAGATAGTCAGACAGCACCCACACTTCCTGTTGAATTGAAGCGTCACTGTCTGAAGTGTTTTCTTTGCGATTTTATTGAATGGGTACTTGAGACAGCAGGAACGTGGTCTTATGTAGTAGTACACTTTAAATAAAATATTATTATTGTTGTTTCTATAAGAGATTGAGTAGTATAGAGCTTCTTCATTCAGCCTGAATGCTGAAGGCTCGACGATTCAATAGATCATTCAAAAATGATATATAGACAAAAAAACTGTTTCAATTTAATTGAATGAGTTTCTATTGAAATCATCGAAACTAATCAGTTTAATTAGTGATTTGATAATTCAGACTTCTTTGTTCTTTACATATATCAGGACAATTCATATATGGGTATCATGGGCGCACGCGCCCTTATCAGAAATCTACCGAGAGTCCCCGTGCGAGCAGATACTGTGATAAGATATAGCGTGTGCCAAGACATTGATTGTTGGGCTATAAAACGGACTGCTCCAGCTCTGTCCAAATCAGAAGTTAGCTCCGATAGGAATGCTGAAGCTATTTATTGCATTGACTGCTCTTTTGGCCACCGCGGCTGCTGCTCCACTGGAGGGTCGCATCACCAATGGCGATGTGGCTCGTGTGGGCCAGTTCCCCTACCAGGTGGGATTGAGCATTGCTATTGGTGACTCTGGTGCCTGGTGCGGTGGCTCCCTGATCTCCAAACGCTGGATCTTGACCGCTGCCCATTGCACAGACTCTGCTGATTCGGTGACCGTCTATGTGGGCGCCACCAAGATCAAGGAGGAGGAGCCCGGACAGCACCGCATCCATGTGGAGAAGAGCGGCATCATTGTGCACGAGCACTGGAATCCCCAGCTGGTCGTCAACGACATTTCCCTGATCAAGCTGCCCGCTGAGCTGGAGTTCAACGATCGCGTCAGAGCCGCCACTCTGCCCAAGAAGGACGGTCGCTATTCCACCTATGCTGATGAGCTGGCCATCGCCTCTGGCTGGGGTCTGGACAGCGACAAGTCGAACGCTGTCTCGCCCGTGCTGCGCTACGTGGAGCAACCCATCATGAGCTCCGAGAGGTGCAACAAGTACTGGATGGGCCTCATCACCGACAAAGTCATCTGCATGAGCACCAAGGGCGGCAAGTCCACCTGCCAGGGTGACTCTGGCGGTCCGCTGGTTCACAAGGAAGGCGACATCAACTATCTGATCGGTGCCACCTCCTTCGGTCTGTCTCTGGGCTGCGAGAAGAACTTCCCAGCTGTTTTCACCAGAATCACCTCCTACCTGGACTGGATCGAGGATCACAGCGGCGTGGTCAACAAATAGACTTCTCCCGCTTGAATTCATCAAGAGTATAATACTTTGGAAGTTAAAACCATAATCGTATGCTTATGTGGAGGATTAGAGATATATATATATATATATATAAATATATATATAGATATGTGTCTATATAGACTATATAGATATGTGATTGTTATCAGGCTCTCAACTTCTAAGGGTTGATTGTTAATGCGATACTTGAGCTTATTGCGACGTAGTCTTCTATAAAAAGAGCATAATCAAAGACATTGTTATTAATAATTTAATTGGGTTTGAATGATGAAGTTAACTGCTTTAATAGTATTCTTAGCAGTCTCTCTGGCTCAGGTGGAATTGTTTACGGTGAGCAATCGGATTACGAATGGAGAGCACGCTGCAGTTGGCCAATTTCCATACCAGGTGGGCTTCAACGTTTCGTTTGGCAACAGCAGCACCTGGTGCGGCGGCACCTTGATCAGCCATCGCTGGATACTGACAGCCGCCCACTGCCTGGATGGGGCAGTGAATGCCACTGCCTACCTGGGTGCACTCAACATAACGAATGAGCTGGAGCCAGGGCAGCTGCGCTATCAGGTGCACAAGTCGCACATGATCGTGCATGCCAACTGGACGGTCAGCACGGTGGCCAATGACATTGCACTGGTGCAGCTGCCTCTGGCGGTGGAGTTTACGGATCGCGTGAGGGCGGCTGAGCTGCCCAGAGGATCGAACGGCAGCTACTCCAGCTATGAGCAGATGACGGCCTATGCCTCCGGCTGGGGCAGGTACAGCGATAGCGCCAACTCGACGTCGTCCACGCTGCGCTTTGTGGCAATGCCCGTGATGCCACAGGCACGCTGCAAGCTCTACTGGGGCGGCTCGCTCTCCGAAAAGATGATCTGCATGAGCACCAGCAGCGGCAAGTCCACCTGCCAGGGCGACTCCGGCGGCCCGCTGATCTACAAGGAGGACGACAACAACTATCTGATCGGAATCACCTCCTTTGGCCTCGCCAGGGACTGTGAGATTGGCTTCCCGACCATCTTCACACGAGTCACGAGCTACCTCGATTGGATTTGGCAGCACATGAACAATTGAAATGGCTTACAAATAGAAAAAAAGATATTCAAAACAAACTTTTTTGTATTTTGTTGTTTTTATTTTTTTTTATTTTTTTTTTTATTTTATGTTTCCAATTTTTTTTTATTGTTCTTTTGGGTTTTTTGAAATTTTTATTCGAACCTTCGAAACATGCGTAAAAGTCGAAAGGAAAGTAATTCATCTTCGAAGCATAGCAGAAGGCTTCCAATGAAACTTTTCACGAATTTCCGGGCATCTTTTTCGAAATGTCATTTTCCGTTTTGTTTTGTTTTTTTTTTTTTTTTTTTTCTGTTTTTCAACTATGTACAAAAACTTAAAAAGTAGAGTAGGGGGGAAAAAACTAAGAAATAGAATTACGTGTTTTTCTTTTTATATATCTAATGCTGCTTTTGTTGTTGTTTTTGTGTGTTTAGCATTAGCAATATTTCTGCTTTTTTGTTTTGCTTTTCTTTGAAATTTTCTTGTAACTCAACATTTTTCGTATTTTCCAAATATGAATATGTATATGTATATATATTGTATGTGTGTTTAGTTAGTATATAGCTATACGATCTTCTTCTTTAACTTTCTTACGATTTTTTAATTAGCTTAATGCAATTACAATTAGAAATCGAATAGTTTTTTTTTTTTGTTTTTCTGAAAAAACGCGCAACGTTTGATTAAATTTGTTTTCTAGTCGAAAATTACATAATTTATGATCGTGTTTTTGATATATGTATTTCTTTAATCATTTATCATTAATCTTTTTGCTTAATTTCATATAATTTGCATAGCTTTTTGTTTTTGTTTCTTTCGTGTTGCACAACAATTGTATTTTGTTTTATTCATATTCGTTATAATGCTATTTAATTTTTAAATTAAAAACAACACAAAGCTATGTCGACATTTTATCAATTTTTTTTTTATTCTTTAGCTGCTATTTTTTGTTTGTTGTAAAATTAAAATTTAAACGAATTCATTGTTGTAAAAAATAGAAATAATAATAATAAAAAAACGAAAAACTTGGCTAACTAAAAATTAATTTCACACAATTTTTAACGGCATTCACTTTTGTTTTTCTTTTATATATATGTGTATATATATACTATCATTTAATTCAAATAATTTAGGTGTGTGTGTGTCTGTGTGTGTATTTAGTTAATATTCTATGTAGTTTCTTCTTATAACTGTTTTTGTTTGTGATTTCTAAATTGGTTTTCATCATTTTGCTTTGCTCTTTAATTTATAATTAAAGTGCACGGCTCTCGACATTACACAAATTATCTCTCACAAAATTTTCGATTCAAATATTGTTTTTTTTTTTTTTTTGCTTGCTTGCATTTTATTTGCATTAGTTGGGGCCGTATTATTATTTGTTTTTAGCTAAGCGGAAGGTATTTCTCTTGTGGCTATATACAACAGTTTAATATATATATAAATATATTTGTGTATGTGTGTGAGTGCAAGTGTGTGTGTATTTATGCTTATGTATGGGTATTTGATTTACTAACTTATAGACTAAACGGCCGTGCTCACGCTTTATTTGCAATCGAAGGATTTACCTCTTTTTTTTTACAATTACATGTGTGTGTGTGTGTGTGTTTATATATGTATGTATGTGTGTGTGTGTGTGTTATAATTAAAAATTAATTAATGCTGTACAGACGTTTCCTTTTCTTATTATTATTATATTTTTGTTTTCTTGAAGTTTTGTTGTCTTCCGAGTTTTTCATTTTCTTGATTATCATTCTGTGTTGAACACAACGAACCGAATAGATTCCGGCTGCAATTGCGATTGCGTTTGCGATTCAGTTGTGGGTTTTGGGCTTAACTAAAGTATAGTTCAATTAATAACTTAGCCAACTAATGCATCATCATCTCACCAACAATTACGACTACCGTATTACATTACATATAAACTATATCGAGGGTAAAGTTGTTTGGGCTTCCAAAGAATATAAAGTTATGTGGGGGGGCGGTTATAGGGGTTATAGACTACTTTGACTACGACTACTTCTTGTTGTAAATGGGCAGAGCGGTCGGGGCAATGCCAGTGGACACGCCTGCGGGCGCCATCGCCATGGATGCGGAGGAGCCGGCAGCATTGGAGCTCAAATTGGCATTCGACGACGCGGTCGTCATATTGGGTGGCAGGCCAAGCAGACTGGCAACGGCGGCCTGCGAATTGGACGCGGCGCCAGCACCGCCTAGAGGCGCATAGACGCCACCACCCACGCCGCCAGAGACTCCATTATACTTGGCATAGTCTTGAGTTTTGCTCTTCTTGCTCTCCTTATCCCGATCCCGGTCGCTGTGCTTCTTTTTGCCGCTGCTGCCACCGCCTCCACTGCTGGCGCTGCTGTTGGTGCTGTTCGATGAGGTATAGCCGCCATAGCCCGGGACACCCATCGGCTGGCCAGCTGTAGTCGTGATCCCCTGCACCGGCGGAGCAATGCCAAAGCCAGAAGCTGTTGACATTGGCATCAGTCCACCTCCGGTAGAATAGTTGTTGGGCTCCACCTTGTTCTTGCTGATCTTCAGTTTGAGCGGTGCAGCGGCGCCCACTTGGAGACTGCCATTGGGATTGGCGGCGGTCTTGATGACCAGCTTGAGTGAGTCCATGGACGTGTCCTTGCTGCTCCGCTCCTTCTGCTTGTCCTTTTTGTGTTTCTTACGCTCCTCCTTATCGGGCTTGTCCTTCGACTTGTCCTTCTCCTTGTGTTTGTGTTTGTCCTTCTTCTTCTTCTTCTCTGACTTTCCAACGCTCTCTACATCCTTGCCTTCGCCCAGTTTGGTCAAAGCATCCACTTCCATGGCAGGCGCTGTTGCCAAGCTGTTGCCCAAGAGATTTGTCGGTGCACTCAGCGATTCCTTCTTAATTTGCTGTTGGCTTGTTGGCGGCATCGGTTCCAACAGCTCCGCCGGCGGCTTCAGGCCAGGCATGGTCAATGCATCGGGTTTCAGCAGTGAGCCATTTGTTGTGCAGAGGCTCTCCTTGAGCAGTGTGCGCACCAAATCAGGCGTCGTCTCAATGCCACCGTTCGACATGGACAACGGAGCATGCTTGGTGTCCTCAGAGTAGTTTGAGTAGCCCGGCAGTCCAATGCTGTTGTCCAGCTTGCGCACTTTATCACGCGGCATGCTGCCCGCGTCATGATCGTCCAGCTTGCTGATGCCGTATTGACTGCCAGAGATTTCATTGGCACGCTTCAAGCTGCCCATGTCACGACTCGAATCATTAGCCAGCAGCTCGCCGTGGCTCTTCTTGTGCGGCGGCAGCATGGGCTTAGTCGAGCTGCTGCTGCTACTAGTGCTGGTGGTGGTGCTGCTACTGCCCGATGATCCACTGCCGTGTGGCAACGTGTTGCGATGCTTGTCCTTTTTGGTAGGTGTCAAACGATCCTTCTTGGGGCTATCCCGATCCCGCGTATGATTGTTCAGCTTATAGCTCAGGCTGTCGTGGGCAGGTCCTGGCGGAGGCGGTGGCAATAGCCCATTGAATTGGGGCTCCTTCTTGATCTCGCTCCACTCCGGACTGAAGAGAGAATTGTTCTTGCCGAGCTGTTGCGACTCCAGCGGAGGCTGCGACTGCGACTGCGACTGCTGCTGTTGCTGCTGCTGCTGCTGCTGCGGCATATGATTGTAGCTGGGCACTGCCTGGCTCTGGCCATAGGGCAGCTGCTGCTCGTAAGGCGGCATGCTGTGGACGGATGACGATGAGCTTGATGACGAGACGGATTTATTGCGATGCGAGCCGTGCGAGCCATAGCCAGCAGGCGGCGCTGGGTAGCCGCCACGAGACATCAGCGGATTGCTGTTGGGTCCACTGCTGCTGTAGGACGGCGGCGCATTAGGATACATTTTGCTGCTGTTGCTGCTGCTGCCGCCCGACGACGACGACGACTTGCTGGCATCTTTGGCTGCTGCTGACGCATTGGAGGCGGATGATGAACTGTTGCTGCTGCTGGTGTTGCCACGACTGTCTAGGAGCGGAGGCGGTGGCTGCTGGGGTTTGGAACTTGTGGACATCTTGTGGCCACCATGCGTCTGCATGCCAACGGGTGGCATGCCACGCGATGATTTGTGATAGTCCATGGGCATGGGTGGTCGACCAGATGGCTGACTCGAGGAGCTGCGTTGGCTGCTGTTCGTGGAGGTGTTGCTACTGCTGCTGCTGCGCTGCGC